GCATGATGATGATGGCATTGACGATGATTGTTATGGTGATGATGATGATGATGATGACGTGACTTTGGTGATAAGAATGATGTGTGTGAACCTAACAAGATGAGGACGATGATGACGACGTTGATAATAATGGTGATGAAGTGGATCAAACAAGGAAACAATGGTGACTGATGATGAAGACGACAAAAACAATGATGGTGAATTATTATGGTGGTGACACTAGTTCAACAGGTATGAAGGAATTACTATGAAAACGACGTTGATGTGATGACGCTGATGTTAATGATACTGATGTAATAAGATGATAGTAACTATACTGTGATGAGATACGACGATGTTGATGATGTGAAATGATGAGGGTTGCGATAACGACGATGCCGTGTCAATGACGTCAAGCAATGACATCATCATGACGTTTTTGCACTATCATGAATGCTCTCAAAAAATCAATTTATTTTAATATTTCACTATTTTTCACAAATTTTATCATCAAATAAACTATTGTCAGTTGGGTATCACTGATGAAAAAAAAGGATAATTTACTTGATAAATTGGTGATGACAAAACTTAACGATGATAATTATTGAGATGATTGTTAAATAAAATAGATATACTTGGTATATGTAAAGATTTACTATATGTACAGACGTACAGATATCTTGATAAAAAAGTAGTAGTAATGGTATAATTGATAGTGTTAGTATTGCTAATTATCTGCAAGAAATAAAATTTTCACTTTACAGTTACAACTAATTAATGATCATTTAAAGTGCTTACAAAAGTAAACTGGCTAAGCATTGCTAAAACTGAAAGCAAAAAGTACAAAAAAATACAATAAATACAATACAATACCTTGTATTTGTATTAAAAAAATACACTTTTGTCATAATACATGATAGCTATTGATACGTATAGTTTTTTAATAAGCTATTCTAAAGAAAGCTTTCATTAACACGACTTCCGCTGAGTTTTAAATAAATGTTTCAATTAAACATCCAGGTATCGATCATGTTTACACACAAACACACACGCACACCACACACATACACACACACACTACACACACACATATCGACACATACACACCCACAAAAATAAAAAACACACAAACAAATACTTAAAGAAATTGCATGGTTCTCAGATATAACATACTAAATACGTGCCATTAATCATTCTGATGGAAAAAATATCATGCACGAAACAGCATAGATACTGCAGCAACAAAATCAAAAAACAACAAACCAGGACCAAACAACAGCATAGAAAATAAACAACAAACAAACAACAACACAGACAACAGAACAAAAAAACAACAAAACCAAATCAGCATAGACAACAGAGCAACAAAACAAACAACAACACAGACAACAGAGCAACAAAACCAAAAACAGCATAGACTACAGAGCAACAAAAACAAACTACGATATAATCAATAAAGCAGAAAAACATAACCAGCATCATAGATAACAAAACAACAAAACAAAACAACAATATATAACATACAACAACAAAAATACAACAACAACGACAATAGAAAAACAACAAGCCGTCAGAAGAAAAAAAAATTATCGATGGAAAGATAATTTTTAGAGGCATAGCATTGCGATAAAGACTTCATATTACTCTATTAATGCCAGGACAGCACTTCTTTACTGCTAATTTGATTGGTCAATAGATAGGTCGCGTGATCAACAGATGGTTCGCGCCCATTTTGTTGTTGCTGTTGTTTTTGTTTTAATCCTTATTTATTTTAATTTTTATTTATTTAACAAAAATGTACAAGAATTTTATTATTTATTGCTCTATTCTGTTTTATTTGACAAAAATCTTTGATAAAATTTTTTTCTTGCTTAGCTTCCATGGCGTATTTGGATGTCTGCTTTCTGTCACTTCTATAAACCGTCCTAATATGACGTCATATTAATGATGTACCGGGTGTTTTGTTGTGTGTTCAGTTGTATTGGTTGTATTTGTGGTAATAGTTGGTATGTTTTTAGTCTTGAAGAGATGCAAGCGACCATATTTTTTACACGTACTTCGTATTTATTTGGAGGCAAATGAATTTGTGTGTTTGAATGTGTGTGTGTGTGTGTGTTGTTTGTGTGTGTGTGTGTGTGTGTGTGTGTGTGTGTGTGGTGTGTATGAGTGAGTGTCTTGGAATTTGGATTGTTGAAAATTAGAAAATTAAAAATTTTCAATCATATTTTAATTCTCAATACAAGAGGAATAAGATTAATTTACCCATAGACTGATATTTCAAAAACAAACAAACTACTAAACAAACGAACAAACAAACAAACAAACCAACTAAACAACAAACAAACATAAACACAATATCCATAAATAAGTATAAGAGGCACCTTAAACAATCTTAAGAAAGAAAAATTTATATGTGATATATAAATGTATTTATATGTATGCATGTTTGTTTGTTTGTATGTATGTATGTATTTTTATATGTACATATGTATGTATGTTTGTATGTATGTATGTATGTACGTGTGTATGTGTGTATGTTTGTTTGTATTGGATTCTTGGGTCTGACTCATTCACGCTTGGCCGGTCAGATGACTGAATGCTAGGGAGACGCAAAATGGCGGTTCGGAATTTTTTTCAGTTTTTTATTCTTGAAAATTATTTTTTTAAAAGTTAATTTTATTTATTTTGCTTAGATGCGTTTCTTCAAATTTGATAAAGTAATTGAAAAAGTTATGAGAAGCCGAAGCCATATTTCCAAGGCAACCCATAATTCTCTGTATTATTCATTTATTACAAAAGTTTAAATCAATTTTTATTTATTAATATTTTATTTATTCAAAATAAACTATTTAAACATATTAATACTAAACTATAACACCGCATGTAAGGTTTGTATAAAATATTTAAATAAAGTGAAACTACTAAGTCATAACCCCTCCAGTACCGTTGTAAGATGATGCATCCAGTTCATTATTAAATTATTAACATCGGTTGGACGGATAATTAAATGAAGATTTTCTAGTCTAGAATTTTCCAAGCGTTTCAGTTTTTTTGGGAGTTTTTTCAAATTTTTAAATAATTTTTTAGAGATTTACTGTCATCATCATCATTATCATCATCATCAATCATAATCATAATTAACATCATCATCATCACCATCATCATCAATCACATTCATCATCATCAATCACAATCATCATCATCAACATCAATCATAATCATAATCAATCATAATCATCATCATCATCAATCATAATCATCATCATCATCGTCGTCATCATCATCATCAGCAGCAGTAGCAGCAGCATCATTATCATCATCATTATCATCATCAACAGCAGCAGCAGTAGCAGCAGTAGCAGCAGTAGCAGCGGTATCTTCATCATCATCACCATCTTCTTCTTCTTCATCGTCACACTCCATATTAATATAAGCATATTCTCCCTCCTCACACACAATCACGGCTCTGCCTCAATCATTCTTAACAGCCGTAACAATGTTGAAACTATAATGCTGAATAAATGATAAAAGTAACACTCTTTTTTCTCCCTCCCTCTCTCTTTCTCTCTTTTTTTTTATTTCTTTTAACTTTTTTTATCCATTTTTTCTAGCCTTCTCTTATTTTCTTTTTTTCACCTCTTTCTATTTTTTTCAATTCTCATTTTTTCTTTCCATATCTATTTCACTCTCTCTTTTTTTCTCTCTTTCTCTTTCACCTCTTTATCTTTCATTTTCCCTTTTTTGTTCTTATTTCTCTCTTTTTCTTTTTTATTATTTTGTAATATTTTTTATTTTCTACCTAATTTTTTTTTTAATTTTTTCCGTTTTCCTACTTAAGAAAAAAATAAAAATTTTTTATATAATTTTACGGCTGTTTTTGTTTGTTTATGTGTGATTTCATGTGTTTGTATACATGTGTGCTTATATATTGTTTGTTTGTATGTGTGTGCGTGTGTGCGCGCGCGTGTGTGGTTGTACATTCTTATTTTTACATTGTGAAATGATTTCAGTAGCAACATGCTTGTTGTCCATATCTCCTTCCTCAACAATAGCAAGTGGATATGAAAAAATTCTGCTGCATTTTTGTAAGATAACAATGCAACATGTTTATTGAATGTTACCTACTCTGAACAACAAACATGTTGCAGCAATCTTGCTATTACTTTCAACAATTCAGTTTTTTGACTTTAAGTTTTCTTCAGTCTAATTATTGTTCACATGGCGATTTCTTTGTAGCTAAACATTGTTGCGGCAACATTTTTATAGGCGCACGTTGTGCCATAAATAATGTAAAAACATTGTTGCGACAATTTTAATTTTTTTGTCACTGTTGGAGCAACATAACAAAACGTACTGTGTGAAAACGCAGGGTATTTGTGTCGACATTTTTATGAAAAATATTGTTGAAGCAACATAATTTTGTTGAGGCAACATTGTTTTGCAACATAAAGTTGTTGTGACAACATTGTTGACCTTGTGGCCTGAACGAGGATGTATTCTTTCATGCGTTGGATCCATCCATCTTAGGGTAGACAATATCTCATACGTTCTGTTCTCTTCCAACGTCTCTTTCTTTACAAACGAAGAATTTTATTTTTCATTTGTTCTACTTTTGTCATTTTCATATTTTCTGTCATTCGTTTTGGCATTGTTTTTGAATGGGTTTTTTTTCAAAAAATTTTTTCAATTTCATTTAAGAAAGAAACAAAAATTTTCGAAAATCGTTTTGATTGATGGACGGAGAGCGAAACAAATACAGACACGCCCACGTTGTGAAGACTATTGCGAGTAGCACGCAGACAACACAATCGCACTGCTCGTATCACACGTGGACGGTGAAGCAAAACATTCAAACTCACACAAAGTTCAAATTTGTCTCAAACAAACATATAAAAAAACACACAAAACCAGCATACAAAAACACATTTGTTAAAAAAATAAACTTACATTATAACTCGTATAAAACATTCTGCTTAAACACAACAAAAAGAATTCAGTGCACAAACGTTCACAAGTGTACACAAGTGTACAAATACAAATATACATTCTAGAAAACATACATCATGCATTAAGGTACATAATTTATAAGAGTTGGTGCTTGCATGTCTGTATGCGAACATGCTATAACGATTTGAAATGTTGTTTTTTTTTCCTAATTAATTCAAACACACCCATATGTAAATACACTCGCATACGTAAAAACACACATGCATACATCTACATTCGCACACACACACACACACACACACACAGACGCACCTACAGACACAGACGCACGTACAATGATGCGTATTCAGGTGCATAAGAGGAACAATTAATTTTTGAATAACGAGTGGGTTCTCGTTAAACTGGACATTTTTTAAATCTATTTTCAACTCTCTGAAAAACATAATGGTTGTATTTGGATAGATGAACAGAATGACTGATAGATTGATTTGTGGATGGATAAAAGGAATGATGAATGGATGAACGGTTGGATGAATAAACTTACGGACTGACAGATGTATGGATGGATGGATGGATAGACAAATAAATAGATGAATAAACTTGTAATTGATTCGATGAATAAGTGAATATACAGATGAATAAATTGACAGAGTGGCGAATGAATGAGCAGATAGACTGATTGATAAATTGACTAATGTTGAAAGAATGAAATATAATAGGTATATAAATTATTCAAATAGACCGTTAGAAGAATTCACCTATTTTGATTTTTTAAACTAAGTAGCCGAATGATTAATGAAGAACAGACGGACGGATGAATGGTGGCTGAATGAGTGATTGAATAAATGAATATATGGATGGATAGATGAATGATTGAATGAAAGAACGAACGAACGAATGAATAAACGAATAAATAGATAAAAACAAACAAACAGATGAAATGAAAAAATAAATAAATTGAAAATAAATAAACACAAAAAAGAAGGGCAGAGAGACACAGAGCAATTAATTTAAAGTTTTTTGTCGGCGCTACTCTCAACTAATCGAATTAATCTGAAACATCAGAAGACAGTTGAATTAAGTGGACAAAGTGAAGCAAAAGTGGCGAATAAATAAAAGTAAATAAATTAAATTAAAAGTTAAATAAAATAATATAAAATTAAATTAAAACTGACTAGACTAAGATTAAAAAATAATGTAGTCATTAGGTACAACATATTTGAAATAAGTAACATGTACATATAAAGCTTAAAATCCATCACATCAAAAAGTCAAAAAATATTGAAAAAAAACACATAGAAGGGGAATTCGAGAATGCAACCCACCAAAAAAATCATGGAATGGAAAGGAAACGGTAACTTGCAATAAAAGTCATAACTTTTCATAATTTTAATACCGAATTAAATCAAAACTAAATTAAATTAAAACGAATTTAATAATAAATTTCAAATTCAATTTAAATTGCGAATTAAATGGTGTGAAATGAAGAGGAAAAATTGATGACAAGAGTTTAATGTTAAAATATATGACTTGCCTTGCCTGGGAATGATTTATTGAAGAGTCTTTATGTAGAAAAATTAATGTAACATACTTGCATTTGCATGGATGTGTGTGTGTGTGTGTGCGTGTGAGGATGTATGTACTCCTACCACTGTTACTACTACTACTACAACTACTATTATAATACAGACGTACACATAATACGCTTATGTATTTAATATTTTTTATACCAAATATGACAAAATTCACTAATCCATAGTTTGGCATGATAAGGAAGAAATAGCCGGTACCCATACCGACACTGATATTCAGTTCATGAATGTATGGCCGGCAATACCAATACAAATACTTTTCCTTTTTTGAATTTGACAGCTAAAGAATGTGGGAGAAAATCAAAAAGGAGTTTTTGTCCTTAATTTGAAGTTGTATGCTTTGTGTACTTTACATTTTATTAATTTTTTTGTAATTATCTGATTCGATGATGTTTGTCATCATGTGATGATTATCTGAAGTCGGAACTTTTATTTTCTACCCAGTATCAAAAAGGTTTCTACGTGCCAAAGCCAGTACTGAAAAAGTATCGCCGATACAATATTAACGATGCGATGTCTCGGTAAAACAGCTCAGATGACAACAATAATGAAGAATCCAGAAATTTTTCTATCAATAAAATATAAAATCATGAAACGGTTTTGAAATATTTGAAAAAAACAACAATAATAAAAATTATGACAATGTTAATAACGCAATCTTTATAAACAAAATCAGTGATCACACACACCGCACACACACACGCACACACACGCACACACACGCACACACACGCACACACAAACAGGGTGACGTGGAAAAGAAATCATTGAAAATATAAACGTGAAAATTGATTGATTCGCCATTCAATATAAAATACGTTCCATTCATTCAAGACATATGAATTATTTATCAGGCTTTCATATCTCTTATAAACATCATACATACACATACACACACACACACACGCACGCACGCACACACGCACATTTATATATACATATGACATGTATACATACAAAAACGTACAATATACATATGTAGATACTGTAAATCGGAGAACGTAGATTTTGGTTTATTGTATAAAAAATGATTGTTTATACACATGTATATATACACACATATTTGTGTGAATTTATACAAAGTTGAGTGTTTGTATATGTGCAAATGTTTTTTACTTTATTTATACATGTAGATATTCGTTTAAAAAGAAGGTCATCAAACTTTTTGAAATACTTAACTAAGTATGATTAAAAAGGTGTGTATATGTTTTTTGAAAGTATGCGTCCGTGTGATTTTGTATGTGTTGTGACTCTATATGTATGCATGCATGCATGTGCGTGTGTGCGTGCGTGCGTTATAATGAGTAAATAAATATTTGATAATGTGGCAGTAGGTGTAGGAACGACGCCACATTGGTGGATTCGTCGTCGGCCTCAGAAATAATTAAAGTCGTATGCGACCTGTTTGTTTCTCGTGTTGCATGTATATTTCTACTTAGATTGCTGCTACTAAAATTACTACATTTGACTAGTTGAATTACTATATTTGCGTTGAAATAAGTATACAAATTGTCATTATTACTTTTTTTGTATTTAAACAATTTTCAGTAAATTGTTTACACATTAAGTTAAACATTTAATGATACTGGATGCTGTAGTGAGTGAGATAGTATTGCAAGCCAGAGCGATGGAAATTGCAATGAAGTGCAGGAGAGCAGTAACAATTTGACAATGTCAATAAACACACCATACACAATGCTCAACAGCAAGCAAACAATAGACATAAAAATCGTGAAAACTACGTGAAAAAAGAGCAAAGAATAAACAGCAGCGAGGATAATTAAATTAAAGAGTAAAATTATCGCCCACTAAATCTCTATATCGCCCAATTACTGCAAGTTTTTAATGCGGATTTCAACGCTTACCTCTCGTAAATTTACCTAACTCGACTTTATTTAACTTGTTGTTACGAGGAAGAGAAACAATTTTGTTGTTGCTGCTACTGCAGCTGCTGCAGCAGCTGCTATTTTTGTTGTAGATGATTCTGTTGACGTTGTTGATGTTGTCGATGTTGTCGATGTTGTTGATGCTGTTGATGTTGACGATGTTGCAGTTGTTGATGCAACTGATGTTATTGAAAAAACTGATGCTGTTGATGTTGACGATGTTGCAGTTGTTGATGCAACTGATGTTATTGAAAATACTGATGTTGTTGATGTTGCAGTTTCTAGTTCTAATGTCCTCGCTTTTGTTGTTAATGTTATGGCTACGTTTCGACGATTTTTGAAGTTGCATATATTTAATAATTTTGAATTTATTTCCTATAAATGTCAACATAAACAACAAATACACACACACACACACACACACACACACACAGGTAAACACAAATATAAAAAAACACACACCAAACCACACATATACACCGACACATCACATCAAAAGCATACAATAAAGAATTAATTCTTTTGTAGTTGTGTTAAGTAATTCAGTCTGTCTAGCGTAGGGCACTTTCTTCTTTATTTTACCTGGATCAGCTTATTTTATTTCCAATAAACTCATCTGCTCTAAAATAAATTAAACGAAAAACAAAAAAACTATAAGAAAAAAATTAGAAAAAATACTGGTTCACTTACAAAATACCGCACACATCATTTTATTCTTTTGTATTGAATAAAAAGATACCCTAGAAAAAATCTATACAAAAACATACAAACATACTTTGTGTATAAATAAACATACATACGTAAAAATACATATCTAAAATAAATATGCAAGCATACATACGCATACAAATTATATATACAAAGATATGTACATGTATACACGCATACAAAACAATAGAATAGCCGGTACAGTACGCATACTGAATGTTGCTTTTCCACGCACGGAGAATTCGAAACGCAAGAAAAAAGGTTTTGGCGCCAAATGCAGTGTGTAGGCTAGCTTGATTGGCGCCATTATTGATTAATTGTGTCTCATGTGCATTTGTTGTTGTTGTCTTGTTGTTGTTTTAGTTGTTGTTGTTGTTGTTGTGGCTATAAAAAACGCGAGCCGAAAGACGTTAATGATGGTGGTGATGATGTTGCTTCTCTTGATGATGTTTATAATGATGGTGGTGATGATGTTAATGATAATTTACCTGCGCTAATGTAATTATTGTAATTAACGTAATGATTGTGACACTAATGAAGTCATGACACTGTTAGTGTAATATATACATAATGTCATTGTCTCACGGTATTTATCATTTGGTTCTTTTATTGCTGTTTTTGTTTTGCATACAACTCTCAAAAGCGTTTAACTAGGTATCAGTTAAATTTACATACACAAATCATTTAAGTTTTTTTTTAGTTTTGAAACGGAAAGCTTTTAAATAAGGTCATCGAGCGGTTACTGTTATGTAAGGAACGACGATCTTACTGTTTGAGATAAGTTTGCTAAAACTCTGCAATGGAATTGCTCTGTTAGTTGCTGTGGTTGTTGTAATTGCTTTTAATTTGGTTTCTGTTGTGATAGTCTTGTTGTTATATATATTATTTTTTATCTTGATTAATCGTTATCTTTGTCATCTCTGCTATATTTGTAACCTTTGGATTGTCAGAATCTCTTGTATATAAGAAAGGGGGCAGGAGTGGCGAAGTTAGTAGCGAGGTTTAATGAGAAGTCGGAAATGTGATTTATGTGGTTTCTTGAATTAGTTTAGTATTTCTATTACTGTTGACATTCAAATAATTGTTAATAATTGTTCAACCAAGTTTGAGTTTGAAGCTGTTGTGTTCATCTATAGGAAATCTAGAACCTACTGAATAACGAACACTTGACGATTGTTGGAAGCTACAACACTGGTGTTGGAAATATAGAGATCATTGAAGTTATAAAATCGGTGTTGGTAGTCACGAGCGTAAATTTTTACAACATTATCATAATAGTTTTTGTTGTTGATGCTGTTTTTGGAGATAATGAGTTGAATTTTTTAATTAACTTCTGTTAATTTGCATTCATTTTAAAACTCAACCGTAACTTTCTCAACGTTTTAACTCGGCATGCAACTTCCACTTAACGAATCAGCAGCAGCAGCAGTAGGATTTCTTGGTAACCAGGACAACGAAATCACGTGATTGCGCGTGTCACGTGACGTCGCTAGTAACTTAGCAACGTTGACGAGTAAATTGAAATTTGTTCTTAATAAAATATTTACCAGACCTGCTGTGTCCTTCTTTGTGTGTCTTTGTTTGTTTGTTCGTGTGTTTGTATTTGTGTTTGCGTGTGTTTGCATGGTTGTGTTTGTATTAGTATGATTTTTTATCTGCAAGTTTATGTATGCATGCATGACATTCTTTGTATGTTTGTTTTTGTGAGCAAATGTTTGTACAAATGTTTACACGACTGTTTTTATATTCTTATATACATGTACGTGCTTGTATACGGCAGTTTGTATTTTTGTTATAATCCAATTTTTCTATATTTTTTGAGAGTTGCGTGTAAATTGTTAGATTAATTGAACAAAAATCTTTCTTAAGTTAGCACTAACTTTGAAAATTCTCCATATATTAAGTCACAAGTTTGTATTTTGGGGCTTTTTCAGTAGCAAAAAGCAAAGAATATACAGCAATAAATTATTTCTTTGCTCTTGAAATTTATTTCTACTGATTTCTCCGATTCGCTCTTTTTGGCGTTTTTACTTTTTGCAGTTAAGTAGGCACGGCTGTGTGTGAATGTCTGTCTGTCTGTGTGTGTGTGTGTCTGTGTGTGCGTGTGTGTGTGTGTATATGTGTGTGTGCCTGTGTGTGTGTGTGAGGATGAGTTAGGTGTGGGGGATAACAAATCGGTCAGTCGATCGTGCGTTAGCTTGATCACGTTTGTTTGTTTACTCTTGTTATTAATGTTGTTGTTGTTGATGCTAATGTTATGTCAGAGAATGATGATGATGCTAGTTTGATGCTATTTTGTTGTAGACGTTTTGTTGTAGCCGTGTTGTTGTTGTGAGTGTTGATGTTGTTGTTGTTGATGTTGTTGTTGATGTTGTTGTTGACGTTGTTGTTGACGTTGTTGTTGATGTTGTTGTTGATGTGAGTGGAAACGTAACTGTTTTGACTGCGGTTAGTTTGCATTTGCGCGGATTTAATTCGATTTTTGCAAGAAAATATTTATGGGGTGTACGTGTTTGTAGGTTGTTGTGCGTGCGTGCGTGCGTGCGTGCGTGCGTGTTTTCTTTTTTATATGTACAATAGATTTCAATGCATGATTTATATACACATGAATGTTCTGACACTATTCAGCATGTTATATTTGAACGTGTCAGTTTATAAACACACACATTCTCGTTTCGATTGAATTGTAAGTATTTGATGGACAGAACGTGTTTGAAACGTTTGTGAGAGTGCTCGAGTCAGCGTGCCTCAGACGACTGTCCCTTGAAGTTATTGCACTTTTACGAGAGGTTTTGAAAGCTTTACTCTTTGTTTTTGCGTCTGCTCACTGGTCAGCAAACAAACAAATACCCCGCCAATCATATAACACAAATAAAGATGAACATAACTGAACGAATACGAGTGCACTCATCAATCCAGGCTTAAACATGTAGACGTCTGCACACGCACACAAAAGTAAACATTAACACGCACAAGCATGCTCACACGCACACGCACATACACACTAGCACGCCAGAAGTACAACATCACACTCGTAAAAATGAAAGGTATAATTTGTTGAATTAATAAGTGACGATGTAATAAGCGGGCTAAAAGAGAGAAATTGCTTCTTGTTTCCGCTGTTCATACATAAAAAAATATTAATTCGCACGTAGGCAGAAACACTCAGGCACACGAACACGCATACGAACATTTACTTTCACACACACACACACACACACACACACACACATACATACACACACAACCACACACACACAAACATATACAGCACATCATAGGATTTCGGAAAAGATTCCGATTTGAGGTTCTAAAGCTGAGGATCTCCAATTTTACGGGTCCAAAATCAACCTGAAAAACCAGTAAAATTTCCGACCGGCAAAAATAGTGAATCTAAATATCAACAACGATTATGTAATAAACACTCATAGACATACAAACTCATTGATGTTTCAGCTATAACTGCCGCAAGTTCATTAATCACTAAAATAAATTATATATTTTTGTGAACTTTTGGTTTAGAAACAGCATTTTCGGTATTAGGATCGTATGCAAATTGGATCTCAAATTATTGGATTTGTCCCATTCCTAGTATATCATATGCATGTACATACAAGTATATGCAAATTAAAAAGCAGTAGTACGCATACTAACATGGGATGATTTAACAGTGTACGCGATTTGTACAACAGACTGAGATGTGATGTGATTATGTGATGTTGCGATGATGTTATGCACTAGATGATGACGTTATGGTGATGTCATAATATGCGACGTTGTGCATTGTTTAGCTGCGCGGTTACAACATCCAGAGACTCACTGATATTACCATTAGTACTATTATTACTAATGGTACTGCTACTGCTGCAGCTGGTGCAGCTACTATTGCGACTTCTACTTCTGTCATTTCGATAAATACTTATCAAGATTACTAGCGCTCCTACTTTCACTACTACTGATACCTGCTACTATTAACACTAAAACATATAAATATCTATATAGAGAGATAAATAAGTAAAAATGGAAGTGGAAACAAAATATAGAAAAAGAGAGAGGGAGAGAGACAAAGAAAAATAGATATTTAAGAAAGCAAGAGATAAAAAACAAGATACAAAGTGTAAGAAAAAAAACATAAAAAAACCAGAGAAATAAAGTAAGAAAGAACGAGAGATAAAGAGGGAAAGATAAAATAGAGAGAGAGAGAGAACGAGAGAGATGGAGCTAGATATTCAGGCAAGCAAAAGTAATTCGATGGGACATTCCTATTAATGGCACCCAGCTACATTGTCTATATAGGCAAGTACAGATCATAAATGAAAGTTACTATTAGTATAAGTATTTGTTGCGCAATTTTGTATCTGCATGAATATTAGAGCTAGTGTATTGGGATTCTTATTAGTATTGGTACTGGTATTGGTACTGGCATCACTATTTGTATCGTTTCTAGAATCGTATTAGTTGTAGTACTATAAATTTTGCCATTAGGAAAAAGTTTATTTTTTTGTATGTGAACAACAACATTTTCTATGGTTACTATTGTCAACAAGTGATTTAACAAAAGTTTCTCAATGCTATCGTTCGCGTTATTTTCTGTGTAATACAACCTCTACAGCTAGCTCCGTGAACTCTAATACTTTTATTACCACTACTAATTTTACCAGCGCAACAACAATTTCTTTCTCACTAATACTTCTACTGTTAACATTTTTTCTAGTACTATTAATATTAGAAGTAATTTATGTGCTATATTCTGCTTTTATAAACCAGTTGCAACTACTACTGCTGCTACTGCTATTACTACTACTACTATTACTGCTACTACTACTAATACTACTACTACTAGAACTACAACTCCCTCCTCTACTAGCTGTTGAAAAATGTTAAAATGTAATTGTCATTATAAAGGCGATGTCATTGGAATAGAATCACATTGTTATGACGGTCATTAAAGAAAAAAAAACAAAATATATAATAATAACAATAATAAATAATATTCCCATTAACTGATTGATTGATTTATTGATTGATCCATTGATTGATTCATTCATTCATTAATTCATTCATTCATTTATTCATTCATTCGTTAATTAATTAATTCATTCATTTTTTCATTCATTCATCTGACAGTTTACTTTAAACTCATTCACTCATCCATCCATCCAACTATCTATCAGCCATTCATTCATTCGTTCTTTTGTTCGTTCGGTAGTTCGTTCATTCATTCACTCACTCACTCACTCACTCATTACCTCACTCACTCATTACCTCACTCACTCTCACTCACTCTCACTCACTCATTACCTCACTCACTCACTCACTCACTCACTCATTACCTCACTCACTCACTCTCACTCACTCTCACTCACTCATTACCTTACTAACTCACTCACTCACTCATTACCTCACTCACTCATTACCTCACTCACTCACTCACTCTCACTCACTCACTCACTCACTCACTCACTCACTCACTCACTCACTGTCACTCACTCACTCACTCACTCACTCACTCACTCTCACTCACTCTCACTCACTCATTACCTCACTCATTACCTCACTCACTCACTCTCACTCACTCATTACCTCACTCACTCACTCATTCACAGACAAAACAAGCAATACACGCCATCACTAAATAGTTGCGTTCTTCAATCTCACATAGTAGATCACATGTCACCAGCTTTCCATACAATATTTCTCACTTTTAATTCAATTTTTTTTTCCATCGCAGGATATTAGAGGAAAAGTTGTATTTTTTCTCTCTAGTTTTTGTTGAATTTTGTTTGTTTGGTACATTTTTTGTATTTTTTGTGATGTTTTGTATTTTTTGCTATCTACTGTTTCGTATTGTTAGGTATTTTTTGTGTCGTTTTGTATTATTTTGTATTGTTTTGTATTGTTTTGTATTGTTTTTTATTTGTTTTGTGTTTTTTTTTCTCTTAATATTTCTTTCCAAATCTGCTCTAAAAATCAACGTTAATATTTTAGGTAAAATCGTTACTGAAACAGCAAATAAGAACAAACGAAACATACAAAAACAAACAAAACAAAACGAAACAAACAAAATAAAACAAAACAAAAAATAGGGATGACGGTGACGTTGTTGGTATAAAAAAATTTTTGGTATGGTAGCATGACGTCGTTTATTTCGTCAACCGTGGAAGGGAAATCATTAAAAATAATTCACTAAAGCGTACAAGCGTGTGTAACAATGACTCGATAATAACTTCCTGTTGGAAGTTTTAGACGTAATAAACAAACAAATACATGCAATGAGCTTCATTACATACTAACGCGTTTTAGTTTAATTTGCGAGAATAATAAACTTCTGAGAATAATTAATTATTAATAACCATAGATACAGAATAATCTCAATAAAATTTCCCAACAAAAATAAAAAATAACCTAACGAAAGGAAAAAACTAAAAATAAAACAAAAAAAACAATGAGATGAGAAAAAAATTAGATGAAAAACCAGAATAAAATACGAAAGAAATTTTAAAAACTCAAAATGTAGTAACCGACACGCAATGCCCACGCGGGTTTGACGACGAATGCTGGCTGTGAGCAGGTTGAAGAGAAACTTAATGACAACTTTATGAAACTTAATGGCTGGAGATGTTGTTGTGGTGAAGATAAACCGGTGATAGTGATTACCATGAATGATGACGACGGCAATGATGATGATGCAAGAATTTAGAAAGTTGTGACGCAAGCAAAAATGTGATGAAATTTTGTGAAAATGACCGCAGAGATTTGATGACGATGTAAAAAGGACGATGCTGATATTGAAACCAAAATTAATGATGATGTTTTGTCATGAAATGGTGAAAATGACTGCTAGAAATGATGATGGCGAAGAAAATGCTGATGATCCTGATGGTAAAAATGATGGTAAAAAAGTAATAATGATGATGAAGACAGTGATGATGAGGATGATGACAATTACAATAATGATGATAATCATGATGATGATAATAAAAAAATGAGAAAAATGATGATGAAAATAAACAGATATGACAAAATTATTCAAGGAGTTTAATTTTGTCATAAAAGTATGCAAATGAGCCATCCTCTGACAAATCATGTTGTTATTATGATCTTATTGCTCCCACTCTTATTGATATTTTTATTCTTATTATTATT